CCCCCCCCTGTACAGAAAAATTCCTCTAGATTCCAACAGGCTCCCTATAAGTTCAAATTTGAAGGAACTGTCTGGTTCCAACAGGCTCCCTATACGTTCAAATTTAAAGGAACTGTCTGGTTCCAACAGGCTCCCTATAAGTTCAAATTTAAAGGAACTGTCTGGTTCCAACAGGCTCCCTATAAGTTCAAATTTAAAGGAACTGTCTGGTTCCAACAGGCTCCTTATAAGTTCAAATTTAAAGGAACTGTCTGGTTCCAACAGGCTCCCTATAAGTTCAAATTTAAAGGAAAGATGTCGTCGTATTTTTAGTGAACCTTTATTTATTGCAGTGTAATTAAAACATTAATCTAATCAGAGTCCGAATTTAATGAATTTAAGCCGCGTCTCAAATCCCCCAAAAACCGGTTTCAATTGAGCGCCGGTTTAAATCTTGAAAAATTCAATACAAATTTAAGTGGAACCACCCAAATTTTAGCCTTGGCTTAAATGTACACCGAGGCTCAAATTCTTTAAATTCGGCCTCTTATCAATAGATGTGGCTTGAAAAGTGTTTAGCTCAGATAATTTCTCCATTGCCCATTTTTGTAGATCAAAATCAAAATAATCAAATACATGAATATCTAATTCTTCTTGATCAGACAGAGCTTTTAATGGTCCCGGAGTGAATCGGACACTTGCAATGGAGGATCACTTGAAATTATTTTTACTATCACTTTAAGGCATGTAAATAAAGGTGTTATGATAAAACATACAAACAAGTAAAGAGAGAATACAGGGTTTCTCACAAAGGACGAGACTGTAAAGACGACTTGAAACTCTTCATATTCTGCCTTGAATGTGGTCTTTAAATGGTTTTTAAAGGGAGTGTCTGGCTAGATATGGTAGTTGAGCTGAGAATGCAATATTGTAGGGAAACTTTTAGGATTCATTTCACCCCTGACTAACCAGAGTGAGAAGCATTCAGTTTCTTCTATTTGAAATAAGACGTGTTTTGGTCTATATGAGGCAACAATCTTTTAATTTAATGATTTGTTGTAGAATACTTTTTTATTCAAAATGTATATATATGCCGACAATAAAGTATTTAGGTAAAAGGCTAAAAAAAATAGTTTAATGAGATCGATAGTCACAATTTTCTGGTATTTAAGATCGATTTGAGACCTATATCAGACGTTTTTACAGTGCAGAATTGTTCAACATAGCACAAAATCAATCTTGGAAATCCTCATAGATTGTCCATTTTGGAAGTAATATTTTGAGAATCGGTTAAAAAAACGACCACAAAAACGTAATAAAAATTTTACAGTAAACAAAAAATAGAGATTACCTCTTTTCGTCAAAAGTACAAAACTTGGTATTTAAAGTTTTTCAGATTTCAGCTTAATCATCCATTGTATAATTAAAGATTTTTCTAGCCCATTACATTTATTAATTTTTCAAATCATTAATTTTTCAAATAATTCTGAGGTTACTCTGTCTAAAATAAATCAGTTGTTAAGATTTTATTGATTGTTAGCTAAGTCTTAAATCTACACACCTGTGAATCTAAAAAAAAAGATCAAACAATGAAATATTTATTGTGTTTTAAAATATATTTGATATTTTTGATATTTTGATTTTATTTATTAGAATAATAAAAAATGAATAGAATGATGGTTTAGATGGTAAAGATATATCTTAAAATATTCTAAAATAGACTGAAGGGGAGTGTCAAATTTATGCAATATTAAAAAAAACATTGATACCATGATGACCAGAAAACTGTGGAATAGAAAGTAATACTTCAGTGTATTAGATGTTACAAAGCAAATAGTCTTACGAGTAACTAATAAAATCACTTAAGTAAAAGGGGTCTGTATACACTGCACAGTTGTTGGGTCTCATGTTCATTATACCATTTACAGTCAGAATATTTGAGTATAAACATCGTCTTCCTATTCCAGAGTTTTCTGGTTCTCACTGTTTACAAATATCTGACCAATTAAAGTTTTCAAAACACTTTTTCCACTGGACTTTTTCAAGTGCCAAATTTATGGACTTAATTTACAAAAACTTTTTTCTTCTTTAGATAATTCCTTGGCGACATGTGGTGACGTGGCCTTGTCTCATGAGTTTCTAACAGCGCTGCACGAAACCTATTGCTAATAGCGCTGGACAAAACCCATTACTAAGAGCGCTTCACGAAACCCATTTCTATTAGCGCTGCACAAAACCCATTTCTAAGAGCGCTGCACAAAACCCATTTCTAATAGCGCTGCACAAAACCATTTCTAATAGCGCTGCACAAAACCATTTCTAATAGCGCTGCACGAAACCATTTCTAACAGCGCTGCACGAAACCATTTTTAATAGCGCTGCACGAAACCATTTTTAATAGCGCTGCACGAAACCATTTCTAATAGCGCTGCACGAAACCATTCCTAAGAGCGCTGCACAAACCATTTTTAACAGCGCTGCACCAAACCATTTCTAATAGCGCTGCACGAAACCATTTCTAATAGCGCTGCACAAAACCATTTCTAATAGCGCTGGACAAAACCATTTCTAATAGCGCTGCACAAAACCATTTCTAATAGCGCTGCACAAAACCATTTCTAATAGCGCTGCACGAAACCATTTCTAACAGCGGGGCACGAAACCCATTTCTAATAGCGCTGCACGAAACCCATTTCTAAAAGCGCTCATTTATTACAGCGTTTATTACGTATTAATACAAAAATCAAATATTGAGTGCAGAACTTGTTAAATTTAGTTTCCAGTTTAATTTGGATTCCAGTTTCATTTATTTTCCGGTTTCATTTAGTTTCCGGTTTAATTCAGTTTCCGGTTTTATTTAGATTCCGGTTTCATTCAGTTTCTGGTTTAAATTAGTTTCCGGTTTAATTTGGTTTCCGGTTCAATTCAGGTTCCGGTTTAATTTAGTTTCCGGTTTCATTTAGTTTCCGGTGTAATTTAGATTCCGGNTTTCCGGTTTAATTTAGTTTCCGGTTTAATTTAGTTTCCGGTTTAATTTAGTTTCCGGTTTTGAGGGACTGTTAATTTCAAGCAATTCATTATTCGAAGAGTCAAATGTCGGATTCACGACGATACCCCTTTAATCCTTAGTCTGGCTTGAAATCCTTTGTTTCTTTTTTTTGAAACGGAACTTACGAATTTTTACAGTAGAGACTATGAGAGAACTCTTATATTTTCAAAACGGAAAAATGTTGATTTGATCCTCATGCTTATCTGATAAAGAACTCAAGGATGCAGCTAGTCGGGCATGTAAGCTGTAACGCTTAAAATTAAGTATCTATTAAAATTGGATCAGCAGTTCGAAACGTTAGTAAAATCTTTAGGATTACTGAACATAAATCGATCCAAAACATTGAAAATCGTTTCCAATGCTCTTTGAATATTCAATATTGAACTCCCAGAAATATGACAAAAACCTAAACTTTGTCAAGCATTTTTGACGCAACTGAAGTAGTTTTGAAATCACTTATTTTGTTATGTCAACAAAAAACAATTTAGCATATAAACGACATAACTGAGATATTTAACAATCAACTGTTCGAAGAAACTATTTATTCTCCGCAACCTCTATTTCCCCTTTCATCCACTCCAAACCCACTTCAA